GCTGCTGGCCAATGGAGGGAGGTTGTTGAGGGAAGTGAGTGAGTGGTCCAGGTGAGTTGGGGAGTTTTGGAGAGTTGTGATTTAGGGAAGGTCTAGGGGGAAGCTGTGGGTGGCTTTGGTGAGAAGCATAGGAGCCAACTCAATTATTTACTGCACACTGCCATTCAAATGGTGTGCGTGCACCATGTCATGTGATTGATTACGTGGGGCAGAAGAGGAGGAGTTTGGATTTGATATCCCGCTTTATCACTACCCGAAGGAGTCTCAAAGCGGCTAACATTCTCCTTTCCCTTCCTCCCCCACAACAAACACTCTGTGAGGTGAGTGGGGCTGAGAGACTTCAGAGAAGTGTAACTAGCCCAAGGTCACCCAGCAGCTGCATGTGGAGGAGCGGAGACGCGAACCTGGTTCACCAGATTACTAGTCCACTGCTCTTAATCCACAACACCACACTGGCAGGGCTTACGTGGGCCTCCCAATATTTTATTCACGTTGACCCCCCTGGTGAGGGGGTTTGATGGGGATGCAGGTGGGTTTGGTGAACAAAGCAAGCTTGGCTGCAGTCCCTAGCTGTCTATGTAAGAACGTAAACAGAGAGTTGCTGGATCAGACCAAAGGTCTGATCCAACATCCAACATCCTGTTCTCATAGTGGCCAATCAGATGCCTTTGAGATCACATACATGGGAGGAAGCACGTTGCCTCTGACAGGACAGGCAGAACACAGCCATTGTGACTAGCAGCAATTGATAGCCTTATCCTTCCTGAATTTGTCTAACCCCCTTTCAATGCCATAGAAGTTAATGGCCACCTCTACATCTTGTGCGAGGCAATTCCATAGTTTAACTATATGCTCTGTGAAGAAGTCCTGTCTGTATTGAATCTTCAAACTTCCAGCTCCTGGTTCTAGGATTACAAGAAAGAAAAACTCCCTATCCACTTTCTCTAAGCCATGCATAATCTAATACACCTCTGCTTTGCTCGTCCCCGTTATTGGCTTGTTCTCTAAACTAAAAAAAGCCCCAAAGGATCTTTCCTCACAGGGGAGGTTCCCTTTTTCGAAACCTCTTCCACCTCTACAGTGTTCCTTTTGAGGCAGGCAACACAGCCAGAAATGTACACAGTATTTCAAATGTTCACACCATAAATATGCAGAACAGCATTATGATATTAGCAGTTTTATTTTAAATCCTTTCTCTTATTATCCCTACCATGGAACTCACTTTTCCCCCACAGCTGCTGTCCACTGGATCACTACTGTTACTGAGCTATCTGCTTTGACCCTAAAGTCTTGTTCCTGGTTAGTTTACTGCCAGTTCAGAATGCTTCTAAACTAGATTAAGTTCAGAAACCTCTGTGTCAGGAGACAAAAACAGAAGATAACCATGGTTATTGGGAAGCAAAGATGATGTTTCCATCTTGTACATTAATGATATGTTTGGAACAGACAACAGCAGCCATTAAAAAAATGATTATTGGTGCTTGCTAAAGGACTTTTTATGGGTATAACAAAATATTCTGTACTCTAAGATCCTAAAATAGGCACACACACTATTCCATTAGGAGCAGTAGGAACTATCTAGGCAGAATCTTCTGAATGCAGTAGATGGTGTGCATAGAAATTTCCTGGTAGAAGTCACAGGAGATACCAAGTCACAGTCTGTAAAGCAAAGGGTAGAGTTCACTCAAGTGCTCTCTTCCCCCAATCAATATGTGAAGAACAATCAAATAACGTATAGCAGCTGCTACCCTCAAGCACACATAAGGGCATAAGTTATCAAGTGACTGTGAGAAAAATGACCATGTTTAACTTCGTTCATGTGAAGCATCACAACATTTAGATTAATTCTATGCCCACTCACTTTGAACTGACTTTCCTCAACATGCAGGTAGCTCCCTGTACATATTACACACACAATTTCTGATCACTTGCAGAAGAAAAGTCTGCAGGCAAGAAGATGACTGTGTTCTATATTGAAACCCAGTAAATTGCCTTGGACTTGGTTTTCCAAACCTAGTTCTAGCATATTTTCTCAGTTTCGCTTCTGTAGGCTAACTTCCCACCCCCTAATTCATAAGGTTGATAGAATACGATGCACTTACAAGACAATAGTTGATATTTCTCTCCCTCTCTTTTAAAAAAGTGAAGAACATGATTCATTGCAGGGGTCTAACAGATGCCCCTCCCAATCCACAACCCTGGACGTTCAGTGCTACCTTTTTGCAATTTGGTGCATTCACAAAAACAGTCCACCCAGAAACAAACACACACGCACACACTTTGCTGGCTACATTTTTCTCCTGTGCAGCAGCAGCAGCCTCACCATTGTGATTGGCAAAGGCACAAGGCAGGATTATTTGAGGGCAGGAGGTCTGAAAAAATGATAAACTAGCCATCTCCCCCCTGCTCCTTGCTCCATTTACTGCAAAACACAAACAATGAAGATAAAAATGGCTGCTACCATTTTTTTCAACAGTTATTGTAAGTACAAGTCAGTATATGTGCAAGAATCTATTTTTTGTGATTGGATATTGACAAATACCATCAAACTTTACACCTCCAACAAACACAACTATAGTCAAGTTTGGCCACTGTTAAGAGAACACAATGCTGGATGAGACAGCAAAGCAATTCTTATTAGAAAGTCACCACAACTACAGGAAGACCAGCAAAACAAACAACTTCAGTGTGTCCTGTTTTGGAAAAGTATTGAGAATCCAAGCCACATGAAGCGCCAGAGAGTAAACACTTGTCTTGCTCTTCAGATTTAAAAAGGCAAGCATTAATTCAAATAATTATTTTTGTCCTTTCTTTTGTCCTTTCTCTAAGTGCTATTATTGCCAATATTGTCGAACCATGTGTTTTGTGGGGTGGGTTTTCTCTAGAAGTAACATTAATAAATTCATCATTTTTCTGAATGCAAAGTCAGACTGCGCACAAACCACAGAAAGGGCAAGACCTCTCTGAATAGGATTCTCATATGTATGCATCAATGTATGACTAAGCCTTGCATTTAGACAAAAGGTTAAAGCTAGCGGAGAAGGAAGCTCAACAACAGTTGTCAAGTATCCAAAAGGCTGCCATAAAGCAGAAAAATAACAATTTCACACAAAAATATGTGGGGTGTCACACAAAAAAACTTGCCGCAGAGCAGTTTCAGCTTGACTTATCAGCCAATATTTCCTATTTCTCAAAACAGGCAATGGAGCTGGCAAGACAGCTGCAGAATTTACTTCCCTATATGGGTTTTTAAATGCAATGATGAGTATTAGTCAAATGTGGTTTATGTCTACAGAGTCACATTGTTTCAACAAGTATCAGCAGAGTTTTCCAAGGTACTCTAACTCTTTTCACAACTTTGTTGCTGCTTTTTAAAATGAAATGTGAACCAAATGGAGCTTTCCAGAATTATCCCCATCCCTCAGCTTAAGAGACCATGCAGATTCTTTAGCAGAGCTTTCAACAAACTGGTAACCTCAGATGTTGTTGGACCACAACTCCCTTCAGCCCCAGCCAGTCTGGCTAATGGTCAGAAATGATGGGAGTTGCAATCAAAACCATCTGAAGAGCACAGGGCTGGGGAAGGCGGTTCTAGCTCAATATTCACTTCTCCTAGAACGGAACTCTTCTCTTTACCAGTAAGAAAGTGCCCGGCTTAAGTGTTAGCACTTTGCATGAACAGCAAACTGAAGAATTAAAATAAAAATCACAAGCAATATCAAAAATCATGAAGTGAAAATGAGGAAAGATGATTAGCCGGAACACATCCCTATCTTAATAGTCCACAGAGTGCATTGTAGTCATGCAGAGTTCAGGAGCACATAACAGAAAACATTTCTTCACTACTAGAATAGTAAATCAGTAGGAATATCCAGTAGGAATCTTTCTAGCATTTCTGCATCTTAACAGACAGCATATGCACTGTGCTCCTAAGCATGTTTATTCAGAAGCAAGGGAGCTCAATGGGGCTCTCTCAAAGTAGTATTTCAAAAGAAACTCCATGCAGGCAAACTCAGGAAGGATATTACAAGTAGACCATGCCTCCTCTCAGATGGAGTAATTTCACTGAAACAATACCCAAATAGTGGTCTATCAACTTGAATAGTATTTATCTACTAACAGCAATTGGTGTTGTGCTTAAGTGCTTGTGCATTTGCAAAACAGACTTTTCCTCTTCTGTTTGCACCAATTTGTAGAAGCAGCATTATAACATTTCAGCCTTTTTTCAGTTCACTTCTATAAGTGAGGATCAGTTCAGCCTCAAAAAGCCCAGCTGAGTCAATCAAACATCATCTGTGTTAGCTATTTGCTATAATTGAGGGAGCTAAAAAATACATTCTATAGAGTAAAAAGTTGGGAGTGCCACCAAAGTTTCCATTCACTGCTCTTTTGCTATGAAATCACATAAACTGCCTTTGATTTACTCATTTAGAAAACAAATCTAAAAAACAGTCAAACTTAGTAAATTGCCCAAAACATTTTGGAGGAAACCATCTTGTTTAGATTGGTAAGGAAAAACTTACTAGACTCTCTGAGAAAGGTTTCTACCAATGTGCAATTTACTATTTTATTTTATACATTTCATTGCAATTTTGAGGCTTGCCTTTTTTTCTCTTGTATTTGGTGCTTCCCGTTCTTTTCCCCTTTAAGCGGATGTTCAGTGTGCAGGTAACAAACATACACAAGGAAATTTTCCCATAGGAGAAACTAAAAGTGTAATCCAATGTATGTCTACTCAAAAGTAAGCTGCACTGAGTACAACAAGGCTTACTCCCAGATAAATAGTCACAAGACTGCAGCCTGAGAGCCATTTCCCCCCCACAGGAGTATGTGCACATTTTTCTAGTACAAGCATTTTTAAGCAAGTGATCCACTAACACTGCAGATACTGATAAATCTGTTTTAAAAGGTAAGTGTCAGTATTGCAGCTGACCTGCAGAGCCTTGAAAGCTCTTTTCTTTCATTATAATATTGTGTCACCGATCACAGTTAAATGCTAGTTAAGAATTATAAAATGTATTTATTTTCTAATTTCCAAAAAGCTATTTGACATGACATGTTCTACAGCAGAAATTGGGGTTTTTGTTATTAACCTTTAAATTACTCATTTTCTTCCAGTTCTTTGTTTACCTATGTATCAAAATAAATCTACCCTGATGGATTCCCACCTAACCATTTAGAGACAGGAAGGGGGGTGAAAAAGAAAGGGAAAAAAGTTTAGCAAGCAAAAAAACCTCATGGTACAACCTTGATTCACTTATTTTCATGCTGATTATAATCATCAGCATATCTTTATAAATTACTCTTTCACATTTCAACTTTATATTTAAAAAGTCATCTAGAAATTACCCAGGTGCGAACATCATAATTAAAATCATACTAGCTCTGGTTTTCATAGGCACATTTCTTAAAACAGTTTGTCCGCAGAGCCATAAAAACCTACATTGCTGTTTAAACCTCTGTGCAGTCTCCTAAAAGTGTTTGTCTTTTAGCGAAATGACAGTGTTAAGAGAGAGGGAATCTACAAAGGACAGCCTTCTGTGCACCAAAGATAGAAATTGTTCTAAAGCAATATTCTCAAAGGTTTTTTGAGAGCAAAAATAATGCTCCTTTTCTAGAATATTAAAAACAGCACAGTTCTAATACCATCACAAAATGGCATGTGTACAAAATGCAGCTGCACAATAACTACTAGGTATTTTTTTGGGGGGGGGAGGGAGGACTCCAAACACCCTATCCCCCCCCCTTCCTAGAATTTGGCAACTTTGCATATGATACAGAATGGTTGCCAAATAATCACACTGCTTTGTATGGCATATTGAATAGTTCTTTTACAACACTAGCTAAGTTTTTAAAAATTGCTTGAACTTAAAGGTTAAAACTTGTTATTAGGGAAAATAAACCCTCTCTGGCACGGAGTGAAGGGTTGCAGGGCAGCCATAGACAAATCCCTGGCTGTCCTAGTTTTCAGTATCAGTATCAAGGGTAGTGCATAGATCCATTGTGAGGAGGGAAACTGTACGTTTGTCACTTCTTCTGAGTAGCCTGGAAGGCTTTCAGTTCCACCTGATACCAGCCTGGAGCTTCCGGCCCATTTTGTCCAATGGGATTGTGGTCGTATCCATAAGCCACTGTTAATTCTTCATCCTTCTCAACAGCCCTAATAGTGCGGATACATTTAATCAACCCAAAACGAGGATGAACAAACCTAGAAAGGAAGGAAGCATACACAGTCAGAAAAAGGAAACTCAGCAAGCCCAAATGATGTATTCGTTTTCTTGAAAGCTTTACATATATCCTGTGCGTTTTTTAGATATAGGTGACGCAGCACTACCAGAAAACACTATAGGAGTGTCGCTGACCACTTTTTTCTCTGCAGCAAAATATTCATATCGTAAAACCTTTATTGGCATCACATACAACATCCAAAACAAATCAATACAGAATTGCCACTTCCCCAGTGGCACAAAACATTTGCTAAAAGAAAGGAGGCAGAACAGTCTATCATCACATCTCTTGGTCTCCAGGGAGATCAGACGTTTGCAGTGTATTTTGATGACAAAAAACCAAATAGAGATATTTAGCCAGCAGCAAAATATTGTTAAATAGCAACAACAAACGTTTTGGAAAAAGTTACAGTTAAGCAGTCCGTCCACTGTGGATAACACAGGAGAGTGGATGGGACTAAGAACAGAGGGCAGCAGAAACAGCTCTCTTGACTAGGGCCACCACTGAACGCAGAGGCAAAACTATGAAGATACACCTCAGCATCTTCTTCAATGAAAGATCCTGCCACCCACCTCCCAGCAAAATGTTTGTGGCTGGTGCAGGATTTTCCACTTAGATAAGGGATGCCTAACCTTTTCTGGACAGAGGGTTGTATTCACCTATTATCAACCCTCGAAGAAGAAGAAGAAGAGTTTGGATTTGATATCCCGCCTTTCACTCCCTTTAAGGAGTCTCAAAGCGGCTAACATTCTCCTTTCCCTTCCTCCCCCACAACAAACACTCTGTGAGGTGCGTGGGGCTGAGAGACTTCAAAGAAGTGCGATGGGGTCTCCCATCCAAAGGGCAATCCTACACCATTTAAAATAATTTATTTTCATTCATTAAATTTGGTTAAAAACCATTTACTTTTTTAAAAAAATGACAAATTTGGTAGGTTTTTTAGGAGGAGGGCCCCCAAAAACCTTCAGGAGTGGGTGGTCAGGGCTAGCCACCCCTGACTCAGAGCATGATGGATAAGTGCCATTTTCCAGGAATGCTTCCCTTGCTTTCAACTGTATTTTTCATCAGTTTCCCCCACCCACTTGATTTAGTGCTGTGGTTGCAGTGATCCTTTGATATCATCTGCTATCGCATTGGCAGACACAGTTCTGACACCTGAAAAGCAGCACCTTCATCAAGCAGAAGTTTAATACTTACGAGTCATAGACACTATTTGGTGTGAAAGAATGATTTGCCTTGTGCCCCAATGAGGCACAGTATTTGGCTGCGTGGTTGTAGGGTTCCGGTACATCTATGACTGTTTCATCATCAAGGGATATTGTGTTTCCATTCAGAGCCCAGTCCCTGCCATCCACCTAAAACAGACATTGTTGCAGTGTCAACTTTGTGTTTTTGTCAAGATACAATGCAGATTTTTCTTGTGTTATATGCTTTAAAGGAGAGAGACCAGTGGTTTTCAATCAGGCTTGCAAGTACAGTCATACCTCAGGTTAAAGACGCTTCGGGTTAAATCTTTTCAGGTTGCGCCCCGCAGCGACCCGGAAGTACCAGAAAGGGTTACTTCCGAGTTTTGCCGCTTGCGCAGAAGCGCAAAATGACGCCACACGCATGCGCAGAGGCTGTGAATTGCGACCTGTGCGTGCTCCTTTGAAAGGACCTGTGTTCCTTTCAGGTTGCGAATGGGCCTCTGGAACGGATCCCGTTCGCAACCAGACGTACCATTGTATTCTATTAGGAAACAAATTTAAGAGAAGGAAAACATGCCACTGCAATAGTCCTGACATAGTAAGTTGCCTTAACTTCTTGCCCTTTCTGCTTCATTACCTCTACACAATAAAAATCAGTTGTACAGCAGACTTGTGGCACACCTACTGAAATCTCTAATCGAGTGAACAAAATCATCCTTAATTTTCTAAGGCTTGCTGGACTGATATTAAAGAAACTGAGAAGCAAGATACACTTTTAACAAGACAATTCTCTGTGTAAAGAACCTTTGGATGTTCAAATACTTGTGAGATCCCATAATGACTACAGGATCCTTGACCATGCATTATATGACATCAACACACTTTTTTTACCCAATCCTGGTGAATACTGAAGCACTTTTGAAATAACAGGGTGAACAAGCAACAAAAATGTTTCCAAAAAGGTAGTGTTTCAGAAGTAGCAATGAAAAGTTCTCACTTCACTTTACCTCCTGGTGTGTAATTCGTACGCCATTGTAAAAGGACATAACTGTGCCAGCCTCAGCAGATACTTTAGTAAATAACCCTTCTCCTGCGCTGGAAATGAGAGATGCATCTACATATACCCTGATGAAAGGAAAGAGTAAAAAGAAAGCACAGTGTCATTATTACTACTCTGTAATACACTAATATTTTTAGAAAACTATTTTATTAGTTTATGTAAATTTAAGATAATTAATTTTGGGCCATGGGAAGAAATACTAGCACAGGTGTCAAATGTGACAAAGCCTCTGTGTTTAGAAAAAAGGAAAAGTGTATCAGCGCTTTGTCCAACAAAATGCAGAGTCCCATCAAGTTTCTGTCCCTGCCAAATCCTGATTATGTATATTGAAGATCATCTTCTGAACAGCCAAATAAAAGTATTGCAATGTTTTTTTGGGCAAGGAGTGGGTGGAGAAACAGTTATTTGTAGCCACTGAGAGATATATTAAACAAAGAAATACTTTAGTACAGTACCACAGTTTTTCACTACTGTACTTAATAATTCATTTAAAAATCACTTTTAGAAGAAATATAAAAGTTTCCTCCTAATAGTTACAGATTTTTCATACCAATTCATGTTTTTAGGAAAACATTTCAATTCAATTAAGCTCATGCAAGATAACCATCAAATTAATGAGCTAATATGATGTCATTTGCACACAAGTAGTTCTGTTTGCAATTCAAAGGAATAAAGTGTTGCTGAATGCTGTCTTAAAATGCAAAGCAGAACAACTAAATTGTTTCTTTGCAAATATTTAAGAAAGGGAGCAAAATGATACACATAAATTATTCTACCTCTCCGATTCATAAGGATCAGGAAGAAGTGCATTTGTAGAAATGCAAGATGAAGTAGATTTATCAAAACTGTATACTGGGCCTAAAAACAAAGCAAAACAAAACAAAAAAGTACACAAATTAAGGGACAATCAAGATGAAGATGCAGGTCTCTCTCTTATTAAAGTGTTAGGCATTCAACACACCATAAGGAAATCAAGTTTTTAAAACTAGACAGCAAAAATATTGTATTTAGGTCTGTCTACTATATAATAAAACAGTGCTCTGCATAATTTTTTTTCACCATTTTCATTTCTCCTCAAAACTGCAAGCAGTATTCAGTCACCTTTGTAACAAATATGAGTTGAGGTTTATACATGCTAGAAATAATGTTTCCCAACAGTGCTTTAACATTATATTTCCCCCCTGAATATGTAACACCAAGTTAAAAATGCATACACCCCACATCAACTATGTGTGGTCAGTGCATATTATCACCAACACTTTTCCTCAACAAAATCAAAAGCAGCAGCAATTGATATAGACCTGGGACCCAATTTCATTACCTTTTACCAAAGGAAGTGGAAAGTAAAATGTGTCTCAACTGATATATGGTATTTATACTTTGCATACCAGGTCCAAATTCAAAATGTAATGTGAAGCAATCCTAAACTACCATTCCTTATATTTCTTCTGGCTCGGAGTGTACAACCCTCTCCAATCCATTTTGTCAACACACCATGGCAGCTCTAATTTTAGTAATTCTATCTTGCAGAGTGGAGGGCATTGGCACAGGAACAAAATTGGAGCAAAGTGAAAATAGAAAAACTGAAAGCATTGTTTGCTCGAAGTTATCTCCAAAAAGGTGTGGGGAAGCCATGCTACACAACACCATTTTGCACATCAAGGAGAACTTACTGCCTGGCAGCACTTCAAATTGTGGCTTCCCCTCTTCTACGGATACAAGAGTTGCCAGCTTTGCTTCCAACATTTCACCATCTATGAAGTGTCCATAATAGGCCATCTTCCCATCAGGGTACACATAGGCTATCTTCTCGCCAGTCATCTCTCCCTCTTCATTAACTTCTCCAACCAGATGTCCACCATCCTGAATGAGAAGCATTAATATTGGTACAATAAATGCTGCACCTTTTTAAGAGGAAAATGTTTGTGCGTGCACACACATTTTTGAAACCTTTCAATAGCAACACAGATATTGCACTGCATCCAACTAACTTTTTCTCAGAGAAGACCCACTGAAATTAATGGACCTAAGCTAATCATGTCAATGAGTCTACTCCGGGTATAATTTAGATGGATACCACCCAAAAGTAACAACTGTGCTAATTGAAATACGTTTATAATATTTTTGTTTCAGAGGTACCAGCTGCAGCTTAGGTTCTTTAAACCTCACTTCCTGCTGCCTCTGATCTTTTGCTACCCTGTACAGATCTCAGTGAGTTGTGTTTATTCCAGCAATCCAGTTCTGCTATAACAAAGCCCTATATAAATCCAGGGTATTTCTACAAAAAAAGGGGGTGAGGACTCTTCCAAACAAATTGCAGCCAAATTAGCCATAAACCAAGTAAAATAACTGAACAGTATTCTTCAGCTCTTCAATCCATAAACAGATAGATGGATAAATAAAAAACTTGCAGAGGAAATGTTTTTTTGGGGTTTTGTGAACCAAAGATAAAAATCGTAAGAGCCTTGTTAGAGATCCATTACAGCTTCATCTCCAAGATTGTGACAGCCATTATGGGCCTGTTCACTATTTTATTGAGAAGCACAGAACAGACACTTCTCTGAACAGGTTCTTTGCATCTCTAGTCATGCCTAGTAAGATATATATATATATAAAACTTCCCAAGATTACCCAGTTAAATGCTGATATTTATAAACACACTTTTTACACAGAAGTCACCTTGACCTCCCTCCTTTTTCTCTGGGCTGGGGAGGACAGCAAAAATATAGATGTTTAAAAGCACACTGAATCCTTTTTGCTGGCTTCCAAGTTCAGAACATTTTGTTACAGCGGACTGATGTCTAAAGCATGTACATAGTTACTATTCAGTATTTATTTAGGCAAAGTGTCACTAGCTTGAGTGGCCTGAATAGAGCTATTCATTTGTGAAAGCCAGAAGCTATAATGGTTCTAAATTAAAGACAGTAGAGAACTATGTTCAGTAAAGTATTTATGAAGAAAAGCACCTCTCTTAGAATGAAAAATAAAACCCACAAAGCCCCCCCCCAGGTTTGACTTAAATCTTAAAAAAGATGCACATGGCTGAGAAAGGCACATGGTGCGTTTTACTCTCATGTACACAGTTTGCACACAGCAGCAACTTGTGGAAGGCAAATGTATCCTATCATGCATAATCTGCATCCAAATTATGAGAAGCCACAACCACCACAAGTGTGAAAAGGATTGCTAGGATTCTGGCAGGCTGCCAAATCACAACCCTTTGCTCTCCTTTGCAGGTGGCAGTTATGCAGCCCAGCTGCCTCTCTCAGCAACGCAACAGGATTTGTCTTCCCCATGTGTCAGATATCACTTCATCCCCTACTTTGCTGCCACACCTCCCCATTTAGGTTTATAACTCATTTCCCACCTTGCATATTTGAAAAAGTCCAACGTACTTACAGGGTAGTATATCCAACAAATCCCACATCGAATATTATCTTTGTATTGCCCTTTGAATATCAGTCGCCCATCAGCATCATATTCCTGGGCTGGCCCATTTAGTTCTCCATCTACGTAAGTGCCATGAAGAGCTCCTCCATCTTCATATGTATATACACCCTGGCCTTGCAGAGCATCATCCACATAATAGCCTTCTAATGTGCTGGTAACGAGAAAAGGGTAGGGCACAGGGATCAATAGTATCTAGTTTATTATACGAAATGTTCTCAAAGTAAAAATGTCTCATTACCTTAAGGACACTCTCCCCACAATGCAGAACTGCTTGGGCTTCAACATCAGCCTCAGCCACTTTGCTCTCTGTACCATCATCTCAGGTAAGTGAGCAACAGGACCTTCTTGGTAGTGGCCCAGTAACTCTAGCATTCTGACTTGCGGAGATCTGTCAGGCTCCCTCTCTGGTTCATTTTCATCACAAGTTGAAAACATTTCTTTTCTGGGCAGCCTTTAACATCTCAGGTTTTACTATCACTGGCTTTCTATACTTGTAGATCATTGCTCTTAATCTGTTTATGGAAGTGTTTAAAATGTGTGTTGCTTTTTAATTTGGTTTTTAAACCAAATTACTGGAGGCTAAACCCCTGCTTGCTCTGCTTACCAACCCACCTGCCATTCCCTCCACATTAACACTTTAGCACTTCCCCTTCCCACCCCATGCAACTACCGGTATTAAGCTTGATTTCCCCCCTCCCCAACCCCATTTTCTGATACCACTTCTCTCTTCTATAATGCAATCGCACTTTGTCTCCCTGTTTTCACCTTCACCCCATGCCTTTGCCTCCTCCTCTTGTGCAACCTCCCTTGCACACAACCCCCCCCGATAACCTCATATTATACATCTCCCATACACTGTATTGCTAAGCACCCTTTTTACCTTCTGCCCAATTATGAAGACACTATCCCCTGCTATTCTTCAGACTCTTTCATGCCAGTTTTCATATTCAACCCCATTCCAATGCCACCTGCTTCCTCCTTTCTTGCATCCCCATTTTCACCATCACTCCCTTTCTACCTCCACCGCCTCCTTACTTTTCTGACCTGTCCCTGGCACACGGATTACACCCATTTCCAGACTTCATCCTCTCTCCTGTTCTGCAGTCTCCCTTGTGCACACCCCATGCTATTACTGTATGTTTAAGGTGACTAGAACCTTAAGAGCAAGCCTGTCAGTTACCTTGCTCAGTTAGAGAAGGTTACATCCGTTGATGGATGCTGTACATATAATTACTATACTGGACATGGAGCTTTGTGTTGAAGACAACACATGGTACCAGGAGTGAAATACATTGTGGGAAGGTATTATGGAATGTTTCAGGGCTCTAATGAGGCAGCTGAGGAATGGAAGAGGGAGAAGTTTAGAACAGCTTTTTCCCTCCCTTTCAGTGTCTCTCCCTTCTTGCTCTACTCAAACAGCATTAGCAGAGTGAACTGCAAGGGTAAGGTGTGGGAGGATATTTATTAACTTTGTCTTATTTTCACAACCATAGTCTAGAAACCCCCCCCACAAAGTTATAAAAATATTTGAAGTATTAAGCAAGCAAGCAACAAACAAACAAACAGCCATACTCAAAAGAATGCCTACCTTCCATCAAAGAAGAAGAACTTTCCACGGCCATTCTTCTCTCCATGCACAAAGTTTCCCTCAAATCTGTCTGTGGAGGAGTATGTGACCGTACAGAACCCGTGCGGCATCCCATCATCATCGAGTGCACCTAATAAAAATTGAAAAGAGGCCAGTGAGACCAAGACAATGATACTGCAAGAGTTCATGCAGATGTACCTTCATGTGGATTGGACGTGGGGTTTTCTGCTTTAGCACAAGCTCCGACTCCTAACACAGCCTCTGTTCCTCTACTGCTGCACAATCCTGGCTCAGACATCAGCATGGATTACTGCCCTTAGCCTCCATGCTTTGGCCAAACTACTCACTTTTAAGAAACCTTGTTTTTAGATAGCCAGCATATTGATTAACTTAATTGTTTCTTTGTCCTTCCCTTTCTGAACTTAAAACACTATTCTGGATGTGGGGGCTGAACAACAGTTGTGCAATTGCCCTAAGAACTATCAGCCAGTGTTCTGCATAGCTGGGAAGCTTCAAGAACCTATTCACACACCGACACACCAAGTATAGTGGACAATAGAACCATGTCAAATTCACAAAACAAAAATACATGAAGAATGTACATATAGAGAAACATAATGCAGTATAAAAATAAATAAAATCAGAGGGCTACAAAGCAGTATAATGTAAAATTCCAAACACCATAATGCATATACAATCATTTGTCCAAGTTCACTTACCATCCATTTCACACAAAATTCACTTCCTCAAACATTACCACGTATACAAAAACCACTCATACCCAACAATATCACAACTCACATACAAAGGGTCACTGCCAAGCATATATATAAAATACACTCCTAATGTCTGAAGCACTCATGAACTCATGCCCCACTCCCATGGGACTATCTAATTCTCTTCTCCCATCTCTCACCTGAGAAGGGTCCAGATCTATACTAGAGCAGGTTTTCACCCTGAAGGGTATAGAACTACTTCCACCCACTCACTCCCAATTGCAGAATCATAACACATGTCTTCTGTTTTGATTTTATATTTGTTGTATCATTGAAAACAAACAAACAAATATTTAAAGAATAACATGTGTGGTACTGCACAACCTCAACACCTGATAAAGAACCATCAGCACTGGTAGCATCACCCTCACACTAAAGGTGCCCCTAAACGTCACCATCACCTCATAGAACCATAGAATTCTAGAGTTGGAAGGGACCCTGAGGATCATCTAGTCCAACCCTCTGCAATGCAACTGTCCCATATGGGGATCAAACCTGCAATCTTGGCATTATCAGCACATGCTCTAACCCACTGAGCTAAGCCACTAGTCCCCAAATTGTTGCAGCCAACCAGATGCTAGGCTCTCTCCCTCTGCACCAGCAACTTGGCCTGGTTATATGTGATGAGTCAACTCCCATCATTATTTAGTGTCAGCTATAACTCAAAGTCATGCCTGACATAGCTTCCTTGACTACAGGAAATTCCATAGCCTGTATGGGCCATGCCATCAGTCTGCAGCAGAAGGAAGGGATGTAGGGCTACTCTGTCGCCCTGGTGAGGGGCCAAATCCATCACATCTCCCTTCTCTCATCTGGCAACATGAAGCTGCAGCAGGAGACTCCATCAGTACTGCTTAGAGACCAGCTGTCATCCTTTGCACTAGCAAATGCACTACAGTGAGGAGAACTACAGCTAGTTTTGCTAAGGAGCTGCTGCAGCGTTTATCAGTTGTCCTTCCTCAGTGCACAGCCTGGTCATACAAAACCAGAAACCCCAACCCCAACCTGCAGCATCACAAAACTTGGGATACGTGTGAGGAATGTGTTTTGATCCACATGTATCCTATATGCTTCTCATACTTGAGACAACTGTTCACTCATGAAATGGTTAACGTTCTTGAGAAGAAGAAATAAGAACCAATCAAGCTTTGAGCAATTTTTACATGCGTTCAAATATCTGTCTTCACAGTTTGTGACAGACAGCAAAAGCACAGGCTGTTTTAGAAGACTCTTACGGGGACTCCAGTACTGGTACTTGGCTGATCTGTAGGAATGGGTCGCACAAGCCATCCAAGAAAGCATAAATTGTGTAACTGTCAGTCCTCAGGCAAAGCTCACTTGTAACTTTATATCAGTCTGCAGTGGCTGAACCGAACTTCACATTTGTTCCACACAGTCTCGTTCAGACCACTGAATTATTTTTCCATTTTGCTTTTTAGCAGGCTTGGAGCCAGCCTCTTAGGCTGTGTACACATTATCGTTTACTCTGGAACCACTGTGATCTCACCACTGGTGTCTGAACCCATGTGCAGATGGCCACAATCTGTCTCCATCCTATAGTTTATTGAGAAATACTGCTGTATGCTTCATTAATGCTGCAGCTAAGCTGGTGTGTACATCTGAGAAGGAAGATTGCACAGCAAAAGTGGCCATGGCATAGGAGCAAGAAGGGAGAGAGATTGAGAGAGAGGAAAGGAGTGATTCAAAACTTTTAAGTTAATGTATATATAGCCTAGGAAAGGAGCAAATTCAAAACCTTGATCAGATTTTGCTTAAAGCCTCTGGAACTCAAGATCATAACAGATATAAGATAGTAACAAGCTGGGTGGATGAGAACAAAGGGGCCTGCAGGCAATCAAATGACACTTTCATGTCAAGGTGTAGAGACTGACGCAAAGAAAGCAAGCTGCACTGATAAACTAGGGATGAGTGAGCCCAAACAGCCATGACTGTCATTCTGCTGTTTTAATCTCATCTCTGCAAATAATGATACTCACTGTTGAACTATGCACACACCAGAATGTATTTCCTACCCGAGAAGGAAATAACTGAATTCTGTGTTTGCAGCAAGAGGAAAGTGTGGTGAATTGAACATTCAGAAACAACATTATTATTTTTCTTATTACAGCCAATAAAAGTCAGTAAATTATGTTCTCAAAACACACACACACACACACACACACACACACACACCTAAAGTCTTCTGCAGTAGCAGAAGGAGCAGAGTGCTTAGGACACACTTTGTCATTAATTACACTAGTGTAACGTCCTAAAACCTGTTGCACACCAGCACTACTGCAATGCTACACCACCACCATAGGCAGATATACTGCTGTTCATGTTTAAGGCTGGGGCTCTACAATAGCTCAAAATGGTTTTGAATCATTAGCAATTAAGAAGCTCACTTACACACATAAATACATATATTGTTGTTGTTGTTTAGTCATTTAGTCGTGTCCGACTCTTGACTCCATGGACCAAAGCACGCCGGGCATATATAATTTCTCACAAATACATATATAAATTCTCACAAATGGAAGCTTCCCTTTCCCAGCTTAAAACTGCAGCTTTCTTCTTCTGCCCCACCTGTTGTAAGGCCAGTATCAGGCTTCTTACCCGGACACTTTCAATACACCCAACTGCCCATAAATCCTTCCACATTTCCAACTCTGCTGTCACTTCTGCAATTTTGTTGCACTTCTGAATCAAACCCTATTGACTAATAAAGCTCTCCTGGCAAGAACAGGAGACAAGGGGGAGCTGCCAGGGTCCAAACCAAATGGAAATGTTAAGGATTCCCAATTTAGTCAATGATCCCAAGGTTCAGATCTACACTATAGAAATAATGCTCAAAACATATATATATTATGACATATTTTATATGCAAGTTGTTGAAGCAAGCACCTGACAAGCTACATATTACTATAATACTTGAAATTACAAAATTCCTGTTAGGGAGAAATCATTAAAAAGCCAACTAAAATGTCATCATACTAATAAAAGTATTGTCCTAATAGGGCTTTAGGGATTTTCTAATGGGCCAATATGGTTACCTTTACTTTCTGTATTCATCTAAGTGCTTGAAACACATATAATTAAATATTTACAAAAGAACATCTTTCCACAGCTCCAGTCACTATGTTTTTAGATTACCAGCACAAAATACAGTATCCCACAATTTCTATCCTAAAGTTTGCCACAAGGATCTGGAGTGGAAATATAATTTCAAATCGGTAAATATTATAAATCAAAATTGAGTTTCAGCTTCAGTGCTTTTCATTTTGCTTTCTGGCCCCTATTTCTTCTACCAAATCCCTCCTATAGGCAGAACCTCTGCCTTAGCTTGCACAGATGACTGTAACCCAGCACAATTGTTCAAACAGCTCTGTTCTGCTTTTATTCGTTAGAGAACAATAGAGCTCATTTTCACAGCATTTATTTTTTTCATAGGAAAAAAAATGCTTCAAAATACAGCTGCAGTCCCACCCACAAACCGTGCACAGGCAACCCCCGCATAGGTTTCAATGGAATTTACACATAACTAGGGGCAGAATTCAATAATGAATTGAGTTACTCCTTGGAATTTAAGTGATCATTTAAATGTAGTCAACATAGGAATTAAGTCAGCGGCAGCCAAGCATACTTCACGCTGGACTAAAGAGGAAATCTCTGGCCGCCAACACCATTATAATTTCCAAATTTAATAGTGCCAGGTTTACAACATAGCTGCTCATTTGCACGCCAAGAGTCAAGCAGCCTATACAATACACTGCATTGATTCTACATGCCGCACTAGAACTACTTGGATCCTTTCAGGACCAAAATCTATGGACACACAATACTATTTCCAGGAGTAGTGTTCAAAGACAAATATCCAGAGTTGAAAAACTATGCCACTGTCCAGAAAGATTAAAGGGGAAAAAACCCCAAACATCTATCTACCCTTTCTAACGATTTCTAAGTGATACACATTTTAATATTTTCCATAGATGTGGAACAATAATATTACTGAATGGCCAAAAAGCAGGAAATTAAGAAACCAGGGCACTAAAGCCTGTCAAGCCTTGCCATTTTAGCCATGCATCTTTTCACATTTCATAAAGCCCCAGATCAATAAATCAAGCAATGATAGCATCATGAAAAGGCTCAACTTTCATTAAGCCTTTGTGGTTGCTGAAAACATTTTTGACAATGCAAATTGTAATTACATTGCTTGAATGCATTATAGGTGGGCCTGACTTTGAAAGACGGTTTCAGCTGGTGCAGAAAATGCTGCTAGATTATTAATAGGAACCAAACATATATAACATTGGTTCTGGCATGACTGCACTGGCTTCTGGGCTGAATTCAAGGCTCAGGACCTTGCAGAACACCTCTACCCATATCAGTCTGTCTGGAGGCCTTCCTGCAAGTGTCCCCTTGCAGGAGTAGAGAAACTGTTAGAGGGTCTTCTCAGTAGTGACCCCCCTATTTATGCAATGCTCTCCCTAGGAAGGCCCACTTGGAACTAAGATGATCATATTATCAGAGACAGGCAAAATTATTTACTCCCAGGCATTTTATTGTTGATGTTTTCTCAGGGGTGCGGTTGTTTTTCACCCAGTTTGTTGTTTTTAATATTATAATGGTACAAGTGGCTGAATATCTTAACTTTTTAGATACTTATGTGTCTTTAGAGCAGGCTTGGATTATATTGCATGTACTTTTCTGTATCCTTTTGTTGCACGGATGCAAGCGGCCTTAAGACCCTTGTGGTGAAACACAATGAATGAATGATTTAATTATTATCCTTAGAACAGAGAAAGATTGCGCAAGCATTCACATATTTTCAACACTCGGTCAAATTGTGGAAAGACCCCCACTGGCCCCTCAATCACACATTTACCTAGGAGTGGGGAACCTGTAGCTTTCCAAATGTTGTCGAACTACAACTCCCATCATTCCTGTGGGCTGCTGCTTAGGGGAGCTGGTGTCCCACAACATCTGGAAGACCACAGGTCTCCTCCCCATCTTAGAAGAAAGAGTCCCAGTGATTCAAATAAAACTTGGTAACATCATAAAGATCTGACATGCTCTCTCCGCACCTATCACGCATCTCCTGGAGGAAGAGGACGAACACAAGCCCTTGCAGACCGGGAGGGGCAGCTATTTCTGGCTGAGCTTATTTGGGAGGGCAGCTCGCTCCGCGCTTCTTCGCGCGATTGGCTTCCCTCACAGCTGCAGTCGAGGCCGAGCCACGCGCCTCCGGCCAACTTCCAAGCTCGGGGCTCACGGCAGGCTGCCTCGCGCTGCCCTCCTCCGTCGTCCCACGAAGGAGAACAGGAACCAGCCCGCCAAACCACCGCAACAAAAGCGGGAGAAAGGCGGCGGCAAGAAAGGCACCATATTTGCCCCCACGAAAGGCGGCGGCGGCGGAAAGGGCTCCTCCTCGGAACAGTCCCGACGCGGAGATGCGCGAAGCCCCGGCGCAAAAAGGCGCCTCGGAGACCCCCGTCCCTGCTCTCCCTCATGCTGCGCCCGCCTCCCCTCAGGCCCAAGGGACGCAGTTACCCTCGACGGTCTCTTCCAGCGTCTCCTCGTCACTGTCCATGGCTCAGCGCGGAGAGGCAACTTCCTTGGCTCGGCTGGCCCGGCTCGGGAGCGCGCCCGCCGCGCTCTCGTCTGCGTCCCGGCGCTCGGCCGGAGAGGGCGGCTGGCTGCCGCTGTGTCTCCCCGAGAGCCCACCAAGGCGAGCGAGGGGCCGCCCTAGCAAGCCGCGAGTGCCTGCGTCGCCGCCCGCTTGCTGGTCTCCCCACGCTCGGCGCTCGGCGCTTTGTTATAGAGCAGCTGATCCGCTGACATCACCCTGGGCTGGGGCTGCTCCCTGACTGACAGCTCCCCGCGCAGCCCCAAAAGCAGGGCCCGCCGCCGCCGGCGCAACCAAACGCTCGCGGAGCACGAGGGTCGAGCCTCGCCGCCGCTGCTTAGAGTCTCCCTGGTATCCACGCGCGGGAAAGAAGAGCTTCACTAAGGACTAGGTTGCGCCACGCAGCGCAGCGGGATGGCGTCGTGCGCAGCAAGGCCCGCGAGGAGAAGCGAGCAGAAACACGCCGGAGAGGAGCCGGAAGGAAGCACCTCGTGGGCCCAGGCGCCCAGTCTTAGAGCCGCTTTCCTGGGACTAAGCCCCACTGGGTAAGCACTCAGTGGTGCTGACTTCTGAGTCTTTTATTTTATCACATTTGCATACCGCCCTTCATCCGCAGGTCTCAGGGCGGCTCACAACAGAAAAACGCCACATGATAAAATACATGATAAACACACACACACACAATCCGCCGCCCCCCAAAACATGTCTAGGATTGCACGGTAACTGGCGAAGCAAACGAGCGAATTTGGAGGTATATAAATCAACAGCCACGTAGATTCAACCTTGAAGTGAGAAAGAAGTAATAAACCGGAGCCCGGTTTTCATAGGGTGCTTCTGAATGGAGCCTTGTATCTCAAGCATAAAGGTCAGATCTGCACATTACGGGATAAGGCTGTTCATTACATTGTATAAACTGATGGAAGTACCTTTATGATGTATCTGGTGCCAGTGTCACTGTGTCTGTCTCTCTCTTTCTGTGTGTGTATATATAAACACACACACATATATAAACACAAGCTAGGATATAGACATACCAAGAAACAAAACAATAATACAGTATTGAATGAGATTTGAAGAGTGCTTGCATGTCCCCCTTCTTGGAGGTCTTCAAGCATAGGCCAGACTAGGTGTCCTCTAAAAAAACAACCGACCAACTACATGAGAAGCTTCTGGCTTTTCACATTGTTTCTGGCTGGGAGCAAAAGGTCTTTAAAGATGTCTTTCTAGGTCATTCCAGCTCTCCTCCTAGCACAGTACTTTGTCTCTTATTGTGGCAAACATTTGATGTCACATAGGAAATGTATAGCCATTGGATCAATATGTACAGCACAATCAGTTCATATCTACTGTGCTCTAGTTAAGTGTGTATATGATCGCAATCCCAAAGGTTACCTTTCCATTCTCCAGCACTTTGAACCTGAGGTTTTGCACACTTGAACCCAATGCTCTAGTCTAGTCATTACCCATTGGGTAAGGAGAAGCTATTTGATAGGAAACTGAGGTTTGGACCAAAGTCATCAACCAAACAAAAGCATTCTTATCTGGGTTTTAAACAATGCACAACAAAGTATGTTCATGAACCCCCACCACCCCATTCCCCTTCTATACTGTTGCAAATAGTTTCTATTTTTTTTAACTGAAGTATACTCATTCATCTGTGTTTAGTTACACTTTATCCAGCAGCCAATATATGACACATGCTTTAAGGAGAATCCCTCTCCTGTGCCAGTTAGAAATATTACTTCACTTTCCCTTTAGTGGTGCTTTTCCTGGTAGACCTAGTTCCCATCAAAAATAAGACAGAGCATCAAAGTTGAAGAAGAGCTTAAGCTTCTTGGTTTTATCTGTCCCTGTACAATGTACCATTGTTGTCAACTACCATAGGATAGGAAGGGCACTTCAATTCCTAAAAGCAGATATATTCATTACTTACCTCTTTTCTGGGAATTAACATGAGCCACATAAAGGCTGCTGAGAAACACCTCTGTAGCTTACAGCATGTTTATACATCTTCCTGATAATCATCCATTCCCACACTTTTCAGTGCTTTTCCTCTTCACTTTCTAAATTGCAAAAAGTCTCATTCTTTTTTAAAGCTACTTTGTTGCACTCAGACTGGGGTAGGGAACCTCCAACCCACAGGCCAGTTTGGGCCTTACATGGGTCCCAGTTTGTCCCACAAGGCCATTTCCTGCAAACTACATATATACTTTTTCCATACCTAAAGTCATTTATGATGTATGGTGTGGACACAACTGGCATGCAACCAACCCCAGCAGAAAGCAGAGCAGAATTCACTGCCTCTCAGCTAATGAGCTGTGACTTTGCAACTGCTGGATCAGCTGAGCAACCAAGTTCCCTATGGGAAACTCAATTGCACAGCTGATCCTTGCAGGAAAACAGCTTTGGCCTGCCCTTGGCTCAGCACTTCCCAAGCTGCTGTTCCCAAGTGTCCAAAAGCCAGTTGGGCCTTTGACAGGTGGGTGGGACAACCCACTTGTCAGTCATCAGCTGGGTTGTCCACCCACCTGTCAAAGGTGCCTTGGGGGTGGGGTGAGGACAGGTGAGGCCAAAAGGTGCCCCACCTCTGCTCTAGGGCAACAGGCCATTTTAATTCACTTTGGTTATGCAAACCTACATTTATGGTATGTGCTTGAATCCCTCCCATAAAGTAGTGACAGTCTGGAGACTGCTTGTGTGGCAGCGGCTCAATGCAGAGATTTGTTATGTCAATTGGTCCTACTGTGTGCAGAGTGTTTTCTTGCCAACTTTGTGCAGAACTGCACAGTAGACTTTCCACATGGGGAACTTCCCAATTTGGATGATTTATCAGTACCCTAATCATTGCTTTTCTGCTTTAGGCTAGAAGTGAAAAAGGAACTAATTGCAGATTTCTAAGACTTTGTAGCCAAATGGGCAGTTGCATTACTCCCAGCTTCAGAGAAGGGGGGTGATTTGCAGTGAAACCATTGTGTGTGGGGAAAAGCGTTAAATACCCCCTCACTGTACTGCGGATAATGATTGCCCAAGCTGCAGGGAGGGAGAAAAACAGATATACAGGCAATACCTTTTGGGAAGGGAAGGGTAGAAGTAATAGAGTTTACTAGTCCTAGAAAGGAGAGATTATAGAGAAGGAAATGGCTAGAGCACAATAGTGGTTGAGCAATTTATACAGATGATGGATCATCTACACCTGGGAAAATTACACAGCTGTTCCATTAAGTTTTTCAAAAAAAGCTATGAAGAAGATTGGAAGCAGGATGGGGAAGAAGAGGGAGACATCTTGTTTATTAACTCTCTTCATGTAAGCATAACTACTTCCTCTACAGATATTATACTCATGGGTTAGAGGGCTTTCTCTGCTGATTGCAACTTTGCCAACTCCTGGTTAGGATCCTAAATCTCTGGGCCAGATAGTCTTCATTTCCAGCACAGTCTGGAGCAGCTGCCTCTCTGGGATGGGAAAGAACCAAGTAAGTGATTCTTTTAGAGGTTGAGGCTGTGGAAAGTAGGTTAGAGCATGGTGCTGATAATGCCAAGGTTGCAGGTTTGATCCCCATTTGAGACAGCCACATATTCCTGCTTTGCAGGGGGTTGGACTAGATGATCCTCAGGGCCCCTTCCAACTCTACAATTACATAATTCTATGAAAGGGAGAACAAATCTTATTTTGGCTTCTCTTCCAGGCATATTCCTCCCTCTAGGTCTAAGCTCCAGTCCAGAGGTTTCAAGAGCAGCACAGAGATGTTTGCAAAAGAGCTTTCAAACAGGCTTACACTAAGCTTTGGCTGTGTGCGCACCTGTTACCCTCAGGAGAAATGGTGCATACAGCCAGTGCTGAATAAAAGCCTGTCCCTGCCTATCGGCTAACATCACCCCCCCCGCCCCCGCCCAGACATCAGCTAAGTGGCATGTGGGTTTTTATGGCATTACAGACCAAATATGACAACCTGTCCAGCTAAGACTGTTTCACAGGCTGGTGGTGTCCAACCCCTGCAGTACAGAATACATCTGCTGTGAAGATTATATGGGCAAAATGGGGAAAGGCAAGAGATTTAGAAATGAGGTGGTGTGTAGGGCACAGAGGAGAGGCGAGTCAGAAGGCAAAAGAGAGATGGGCAAACTTCTCCCACCATAACAATGAGTTGGCAGGTGCTATTTCTTCATAATACTATGGAGAAATGGCACCTGCAAATGCAGTGAATTTGAAGAGAAAAGGAACATGGGAGATAACTGGCACAGATGAATGATGTGATGGCAAACTCACAGTATGCAGAAAGTATAATAGCACAGTTTAAGCTCCCACTCTGGCAGGAGACTGTGAGACTTCCCAGGAGCTCACCAGAGCCCATTTACTAGGCCTCTTTTGTTCTCATGCTATATGCCTGGAGAGAAAGTCATAACAGAAAAACATCCCTATAAACAATCGCAGCAATGGGTTAGGAGCTTTATATACGCCTCTTCACCTCTTCTCCTTTTCCCTTACTTTTCATACTTTGCCAATGCTAAGTTACCTTAAACCTTTAAATAGTTTTAAAAGAGAATGTGTAGCAACTCTGGAAAAGTGGTGATGGCACAGACATTGTCCTAGGCCACCTTTCCCAGAATGAGAATGAGGAGGCAGATTGGGAGGTGGAGGTTTGCTGCCATTGTGTTAGCAGTAGCATAGCATTGAAACTAAAGGGTGGGGAGAGCTGGGAGTGTAAGGAAACCAAGTGGAGTCCAGGAAATGCTAATTGCTGCCCTGCTTTAGAGAAACTATTGCATCAGTTTCTCTAACAGGTGGGCTAATGTTGACTACATTGAAATGGTTAGTACCTGTTGTTTATGCTCCTGTATCCACAACCTGAGCCTTCTGTTGTAGTTTCCTTCTTTAAAGAATGTGGCCATTATCTCAGTTCCTCGCAAGCACTTTTAAAAGCCAACCCAATTAATTTTGAAGTCCTGGCATAAAGTCCCAGTTGCTGGGACCCCATTCCTTTTGAAATTAATTAAACTCCTCTTTTAGCAGCTGCGGATCATTTCTAATTCTGCTTCTTCTTTTTGATCAGCCCTTGTTTGTAATAATCCAGTCTATCTCGCAGTCTTTTGTCTAAATAACCTCACACTTGAGAGAAAAATCTAGATCCCAATCTGGGCTTTGAGCAGCTATGCTCAGCTGCTCAACGGGGGGCATCTGGCAAATTGATGAGTGTGGCTCAGCCACTTCAGTGTGTCATTCATCAAACATTCCTGGAAAAACTGTGACCAGCTACAATGGCTGTTTATGGGCAGAGAGTCACTTCTGAGAGATGAACTCTCATTGCTGCTTGGGGAGTTAATATGTCTCCAACATTCCCATCACACTGATTAACTGCTCACTTTGGGGAGTGGACAGGTCCTTCCATAATGGAAGTTTAGGGGAAAGGTAAGGAAGGTGGTAAGATCTGAGATGGGCTTATCTCCTTTCCTCTTAGTGCTCAGGAAGATTCAGAATTTCAGTTGCATTTCAGGGTAAAGAGAACCACAGAAACCCTCTAAGAGATTTGGGTTGCAATCCTGTACC